AAATGCAGATCTACAATGTGTTTTCTGTTAGCTATATTTGTACTGTCAAGAAATTAACAGCTATTAGCCACTTTTTCCAGGCTGTCTCCGTCAATAACCTAGAGACAACTGAATCATCTGGGGGAAAGAGATTGTTATCCTTCCTGTGCTGATTTTCCTCAATGCTTTAATCACTTTCATAGACTAAGAACAAAAATATTCTCTTAAGCTTAGCTTGACTTTTTTCTGAGGGAATGTCAGCCTGACTTTTAGAATTAAGTTGCAACTTATCTCACTTAGCATATATAGTGCCATTATGATGATTTGAAAGCCCATCTCAAAGAAACAGATAACAGTAGTAATCTAAATAATACTTCTCACTTCTATATACCACTCCCAAAGAGATTTATTAATATTAGGGCTCATCAGTTCCATAAGTCATTATTATTAACCTTGTTTCCATGGCTTGAAAAATTTACTAAATGACACCTACTAACCTGAGGCCAATATGAAAGATTACTGTCAAACCTACAAGCAAGGTCCTGGTAAGCAGCTCCCACAACTGCTGGGAAAGTGTAGAGTGCTAGAAATTCTACCAGAGGGCTTTCCCTAAACATTGCCTAGGAACTTCATCTGTTTAATAAGCTTCTAGCAAGCAGACATAATAAATTATGAAGCCAAAATTCAAAATGACTGCTCTGGTTGCTGGAAGGGAAAGTTACAGATATTTAAGTCGGCTTCTCTGAAGATACCATTCCAATGAGATTCACACTCCTAAATCTTAATTCCCTAGGATGAGATATGCAGAACTCCTCAAGGTCTTAACAACTTTTGGTCCATAAAGCAAGCAGTAGCAGGATGGAATCTAAGCCAGCACCCAACTTCTGATGGCTCTCCTGCCCATGCAACTCTCCGAGTTTAACCATTTCTCTTCCAAGTCAGTTTCTGACTGAGCTGGAGGCAGTCTCCCTAAATAAGCCACTAAATTAAAACATTGGAAACAAAAAACAAAACAAAAACTATTGCTTCAACCACAAAAGCATCATTTTCTAGAGTGATTACTCCCAAACTCTGAGGGTAGTGAGCAGGTGAATAGAAAGCCTATTGGAATGATATCTTAAGAGAAGATAAAAATAACACCCCTCAAAGATTCTCAATTCTGGGGATCAGGTGCATGGCTCGAGGGATGTCCAAGAGAAAAAACAAATGAAAATAAAACTCCAAGAAGCAGAAACAATATGGCCAACACCAATAAGCTTTTCTGTATTTATTTTGCTAACACAGTGGAGGGAGCAGATACTTCCTTCACAGTTCTAGATGTTATGCACGATGCCTGAAAGAGGCAAGCAAATACAAAACATCCATAAATTTAGCTATTCTAAAAGAAACAAACGTATGACAAAGTGGATTAAGCTCATTCTCACGCACCAGGAATAAGACTCTTCATGTAAGAAACATGTTCAAAAAGAGTTTCATCAGCACCACATTAATACTCAATGACAGAAAGAGCTTTTTAATATAGGCATTTGAAAAAGGATCAAGCGCTGCATGAAGAATCTGACAATAAAAGTCTACATAAACACTTATCTAGCAGTGCACAATAGGCTGAAATAGCTGTCAAAAAATGTGGATAGACTCAGTTGAAGAATGAGTCAAGAAATTTGTATGCAATATAAGTTTGGAGGTTGATGGGGGTTTGTCTGCACCACACCACAAACTTTGTCCAGTTGCTGTTTTAAGTCCTTCTGGTAGATGACTTTCACAAAGCCTGTGGGAATCAGCCAACTCCTCAGACACACCAAACTTAGATGTCTTAGCAGCTTCTGTAAAAGTTGGGAGAATGCTGGATCATGCCCGGCAGGTTGTTATCCAGTTGCTTCTCTGCCTTGGTTTACATGTAGCATCAATGTAATCCTCTGGCACTTATGACTCCATCTAATTATATTTTCCTCATGAACCTCAACTTACACCACACAAGCATCTGAAATTGTCTACTCAATGGAAGGACCTGGAACATCACAAAGGCTTCATGAAGTTCTAGCAGTCATTGTGCCGGAATCCCTACATAAGAGGCACGAAGGGGCTGGCATCAAAGCCAGAGCTTTATGTGCCAAGGAGGAAACTTCAAGGGAGCAGGTATCAACTTTCATACAAAAAGGATTCAAACTGCTCTGAGCGCTCCAGACAAGTGGCGGACAAGAGGAATGCCTCAAAGCTGTTATTGGAAAAATGTCAGCCTCCTAGCATACAGTAATATCATTAATCAGTTTTTAGCCCCAAGCTGGGAATATGTATCAGCAGGAATTCCAGAAGTGGAACTGACTGGATTACAGGGATAAAATTGCAATGTGTCAGAAGAAAGTAGTGGGTTCTCTTTCAATACCATCTACTTCAATCTCTTGATCCACCTCATGAGGTACATGAGAACTCAGCATCAAAGATTTCAACACTGAGACCTGAAGTCTCAAAATTTTGGCATATAAAAGAGTGACAGCACAGGGCTTTTTTACTCCCAAGAACATATCAGGAGGAAACTAGGTTTGTGTTGATGCAGAGGGTACACACACACTGTACTCAGCAGCTTCCCTTTTGAAGCAGTCTAAGATGATTTTGTGCCAGACTTTGGGGAGTTTCCCTACGATGCCTTGAAAAGAAGATGTTTCCCATGTCTCCTCATTACCAAAGTGGCAGATGCTTGCACACTGAACACCTCTGTACTTGCTGGTTAGACTGTATGTGCAACACAGCAGTCATACTCATTCACTACTGATCTGGTTCTACCATTCAGATATCCTTTGAACCCGCTAAATAGTCTTCTTTCTGCCTTAATGGCTGAGGAAACCGTTTAGTAAAAACAATGCAACCAAATACCAAAGGCACTTGTGCCAACTGGTGCTTAAGTACTTACCCACAGGCACGGATGTGATGAAGCCAACAATGGAAACATCAACAATACAAGGACCTGAGTGCAAAACATCTGGGGAAAAACTGGCATCAAAATACTCTGAAATAACCATGGAGACAGGCACCAAAGTGCTCAAAAATAGGCGCTGAAGCACAAAGACAAGAACTGAAGTGCTGAAAACTGGGCACAAAATCACTGAAATATGGGTGCCGACCAAAACCACACTGAAGCATTGAGGAAAATTGCCAAACAATATATTATTAATCTGGACTGGACTGGATGACAGTGACACTGGAAAGAATACCCACAAGGCAAGCAAAGTAGTGCACAGAGACGAGCCATGACTGAAGACAGAGGCTATGGCTACACTGCCGCTTTACAGCGCTGCAACTTTCTCGCTCAGGGGTGTGAAAAAACACCCCCCTGAGCGCTGCAAGTTATAGCGCTGTAAAGTGCCAGTGTAAACCGCGCTCCCAGGGCTGTAAGCTAATCCCCTCATGGAGGTGGAGTACCTGCAGCACTGGGAGAACTCTCTCCCAGCGCTGGCGCATGACCACACTCGCACTTCAAAGCGCTGCTGCAGGAGCGCTCCCGCGGCAGCGCTTTGGAGTTTCGAGTGTAGCCACGGCCAGAGTCAAATAGAAGTGAGAGGGAAATTCCAAGGGCAGCAGTTAAGGTCAGACGTTGATACGTAAAAGTAAGTAAAGGACTGGCAAATTCTCTCTTTAGGGACCAAAAATCATCGCCGGTCTGTTGAGATTCACTTCATTAGGAAACCAACACTCAGAAGTGAAAATACTGGTCAGCTGAAGCATTACATAGAATCGACTTCATCTTCCTCAACCAGAACCTTCTGATTATTTTGCCACTCCCGTAGGCCCCGTTTGCCACTGCTTGCAATCTTTAGGGAAGCTCTCTGCTACTGGTAGCAGTGCTAACAAGCAACAAAGTGAAATCGACATGATCACTGGGAATTTCACTGCTACTGTGAACAGGAGCAAAACTGACCAGCTTCACTTGTTAGCTTCACTTTGCTGCTATGGACTGGGGTATTATAAACATCTGTCAGCAGACACATTGCCAAGTTATGGTTCTCTACCTTACGCTCTAGAAATCTACTTATTTAACACACACACAGTCTTCATAAATTGATGGCTTTAGCACCTCCCATCCTACTCACCATGTGGCAGAGAAGTTCCCTATTTGCCAAAGTAGATTTTTCACTCATTTAGCCCCACCCGTTCCACCAATAGGGAAATTAATGCCTCTAGGCCACTGAAATAATATTTCAAGGAAACAGACACATTGCCAACCATCAGTAATCTAAGTGGGGAGGAAGAAGGACCCATTACCACAGTATCTGAGCACCTCACAGCCTTTAACGTGTATCCTCGCAATACGTATGTGAAGTACATACAATTAGCCCCACTTTACAGAGAGGGAATGCAGGCACAGAAAGACAAAGGGACTCATACCGGGTCACACAGGAAAGACTGTTGCAGAGCAGGAAATTAAACCCAAGTCTCCAGACTCGCAGGCTAACACTGTAGCCACTCAGCCACACTAAGGAATATTAATTTTAAGGCACAGGGGATGAAGGATTTTGCAGTTCCAGTGAAATACTGTCAACCTCATTGGGTAACCTCCCTTCCTCCATGTGGTCTGTGAGAACGAGGGGCATGCATGCCCTGACGTGGGGTCGTTGGCAGCACTATAGGTGAGGAGTGCAGCATGCTGTCATAGAAATGGACAGGAACAGGAGGCCAGCCCTTATGAGGCCATCACCTGCAACAGCAGCTAGGCTCTTGCCTGCAGCTATCTCCCCAACCCCTACCCCGGGTGTGGGAGAGGGAGGGGGCCAGGGAGTTGGGGTACCTCACACCCCCTTCAGGCTCAGCTTCAGCCAGGCTGTTCAGGGAGCTGTTGGACTCTCCCAGTGAAGCGCCTGGCAAACTGAACTCATCAGAGCCAACCCAGGGGGCGAACAGGTTCCCAGCCAAGACACAGAGTCTGGCCTCCCCCCCCCCGCCCAACCGTCCGCCTAAGAAGCAACCCTCCCCCACCGGCGGGGCCGCTGAAACCGTTGGTGTTTAGAACGTTCCGAACGTTCTATTACCTGTCGCCGAGGGTGGTTCAATCCAGTTGCCCCACCCCCTCCCCCTGTCCTGGGCCGGGCGTACGTATCTGCGTGTATACGTCACTACTCCGCACAGCCACCGCAGGTAACGCTACTGCTGCGGCAGCCACCTTCCCGGGAAATACCTCCCCTCCCTCTCACGGGGGCGAGCCGCTCTCACCCTTAGTCACGCACCGGGAGAGCAGCGTCTCACCCGGATGTGGCTTTCATGCTGCTCCGCCCCTGCCGGTCACGTGGGGTTGCGAGTGCGGCTCCAGGTCCCGCGCGCGTTCTGAGCCGGCTGGAACTGGCGGGCCCAGGGAAGCGACGGGCTGTACCTGGGGCGCGCGGACAGCCCCTCCCCAGGCGCCGTCTGCTGATGACGGGCAGCCGCTGCCTGCGGGGCCCGCTAAGGCGGGGTTCAGTCGACGCCTGGGCGCCTCCGAGGAGGCTGCCCACGAGGCCGGTGGGATGCGGGCACTGGGGTGAGGCTCGTGTCACCTGGGCCCCCCCCCGCAGCCGGGGTAGCGGGGGACACGCCGCCTCCCTGCCGGGCAGCGCTGCGGGCCCAGCTAAAGCACGTGACTCGGGAGGTGACGGACGAACACCTTTGTCACGTCCTTCCCCCGTCCCCAGCCCGCGATGCGCTGGTTGGCGGAGGGGGATGGGACACAGGACAATTGTAGCGGGTACCTGGCAACATCTGTCCTGGCGGTGTGAATAAAGTGAAATGGGGAGGGGGGGCAGCAATGATGCACCAAACTTCTCTTGAGGTGCAGGGGGCCACTGGCTGTGGATACAATACAACTAGGGCTGGGGCTTCAGGTAGCAGCTAAAGTTGTCAATATTTCTTCTTCTTCTCCTGAGCTCCATCAAGCAGCACTCTTGGCAGGAAGCCTGTAGGCAGTTGCAGAAAAGGGGTCAGGGACCCAACCAACCCACACTGGAAAAGGGGTGATCTAAAGAATCATGCCAATGTAGTTTACACAGTGGCTGCAAGGAGCAGAGGTGCCCGCATGGTAAGTAAGGCATAGATGTAGGTCCATTAACTTCTTAGTGTTTTATCCATTTCAATTATTGTTTTGTTATATTATGTTCACTTTAATAAATTACAGCAGCTGACGATAAATAAAAAAGTATAAATCCTACTTTATCTATACCACATTTTATTAAGCATTATTCATTTTTCCATGAGATAGTTACCACTCCCTGACGCAGTGAATCATCCCAGAATACCCCAAACAGTACGGTAGGGTTCTCCCCTTGAAATTAACTCAGTACTGCATCCCTCAAATAACTCCCATTTCTCCATCCCCACTCAGTTACACAAATCTCATGGGACATCCCAGCTGTTCCCAACCCCTAGGGGGCTTCCTTCTCCAGCACACCCCCCTTGGCCTCCAGCACCCCTCTATCACCCCAAGGATCCCCCGCCTGTCCTGATATATTTCACCCCCAAAGCCCTCGTTAGCTCCAGAGACCCCCTTCCTTACTGGCTTAAACATTTTGCCTCTCCCACTGAACCCTGGTGCTCCAGCCCTCACATTAGTCCCAGAGACCTTTCCCTTATTGCACCAAACTAACGATTCGGCTGAATTGGGCCCCGCGCCAAGAGGGCCCCGCGCTGCAGCTCTCCACCCCGCCCCCAGCTCACTTCCCCCTCCTCCCCTGCCCTGCACGCCCCGCCCCCTCCCCTGCTTCCCGCGAATCAGAGATTCGCGGGAAGTCTGAGACGAAGCAGGGGCGGGCCAGCAGCACGAGGTAAGCTGGGGTGGGGGCGGGAGAAGGGCTCCGGGGTGGCACGGCCCGTTCCCGCAGGCCCCAGCGGCTCTGGCCCGGTCCCCGTGGCTCG